TGGATGTGTTACCAGGTAAGGATGCACTCGCTGACACAGCAGGGCAGATGAACTGGTGTATTGGATTATTGACCGAAGATCAAAACCAGGAGGTAGTGGGAAAGAAAAACAGTGGCATAATGTGATAAAAGGAGCTTCAAAACCTGATAAACCCAGGCTTGGGCAGGTGACCAGGCAGCCAGTGGGCAGCTGGGGTCTGAGAGGCAGCACAACAAGATTTGATCCTGTCTGTTCTGGAAGTCAGATGACCACACCACAGGTCACCACGTCTTGACTGGTGCTCTGCACCACTGTCAGAGCCTTTCGGATCACTCAGTAAATGAAAAGACTAGTCATTTCCATCAGACAAACAGCAGGACTCTGTTCTGTTTCCCCCAGGCTGAATCGATGATCATTTACTAGACCGACCCCATGCACGGATTGTTCTGGAGTCCTGCAGATACGGCTTTATAGTCCGTCAGCATCTGTTCACGGAGCACCGGCTGGCTGCAAGCTCTCTATCAACAATGCTCCTGATCGGGGATGATCACGATGCCCAGAGGCTGTTAGAAGTTCTAGACATTCATCTGCACTAACAAGGCCGCCTAGTTCAGCTGTGGCAAAGCTGACTGCCTCGGGACCCGCCTCTGATGAGGACTCAGTGGCACTCCACCAGAGCTGCACGCCAAAGTCACCTGGGGGTGTGGTAAAAAATACCACTTCTGGGTCCCACCCACAGAAACTCTGCTGTAATTGACCTGGGGAGCAGCCTGGCATCAGGAGTTTTAAAATCTCCCCCAAATGATTTGAATATGTAGCCAAAGTTGAGAACCACTGGTTTCTGTTGAAACTCACACCCTTGGCCCCAAGAGACACTTGTTGCCAACTGGTGCACCATCATCACTTCACTTTGGTGGCTTTCTACCTCCAGGGTCTAGGGGTGGCACCGGGGGTGAGGGAGTCGATACAGATGGAGATCTAACTATGCAGCACATCCTGTGTTTGTCTTCCCAAATCACTTTCTGTTTTGCTTTTATTTCCGTGCTCTTTTTTCTTTCAATAAACCACACTCACTGCCACTATCAACTCTAACCTGTTGTCCTCCCTTTGTGATCAAAGTCCCAGCTGCGTATGATCTCATTTATTCTCAAAATAGCCCTGCGAGCGAGGAATCAGCCAGGCCATTGTTCTCTAAGGCAAATCAGGGACCTGCGGATCAAGAAAGGTTCTATCTGCCATGGAACTCATATCCTTATCGAAGTCAATGTGTTCGTGGCAATTTCCAATTTACAAAATGCTTTCCACTATTTGTTCCTGTGGCATCCTCACAGCCAGTCTGTGGGGCAGGTATTTTCATAAGCAGGGTGGCCACACGTCCTGCACAACATCGGTGCCACCTGTTGTCCCAGCCTAACCATTGGTAGCACCTCCTTTCTCTCTCAGAAGTGTCTTGGTTTGGACAATTCAAGATACGGGCACCTTATTTGTAACCACCCTCTTGTTTTAAGAGGGGTGTATTGAGACTCATACACTTGTCCATACACTCTGAGCTTGTTCAGAGTCACGCGACAAATGAGAGGCAGAGACAAGATCTGAACCCAGGTCTCTGTCTCCTCTTCTCCATCCACATTAGTTGGGAAATGAGAATCAGAGCTGACCTCCTCAAACCTCTGTGATCTCTTAAACATCCCCATTAGAAAGTTCCCTGGACGGGAGAGACTTGGAGGACAGAGCAGGGCTGGGCAGGAGTTTTGACAGCGTTTTATGACCACATTGGAACGGACTAGTAAGTTGCCAGGAAGTGTCATCTTGGAAACACGTGAAAGCCTGACTTGGCAAAAGAAGGTGCGAGACCTGACATATGGGTGTTTGGAAAAGGGTAAGAAATTTAGAGTCTAAACTGCTAGCTGAGGACTGGGTCTGAATGCTATTTACTGCCATCTACTTCTGGGCATTTCTCATACGCTCCCTGAGCACCTGAGTTATTCAACCATAAAACGGGACAAATCATCATCCTTAGTTCCTGAGCTTGTTACAGGGAGAGCAAACGGCCGCTTGCCAAGTGCTCTGACAGCATCACGTCTCAAGAGGTCCCTGGGAGCCACATTTATTTGTTTACGTCACTTTTCCTGAGTGAACCAAGGCTCACGAACAAGGATGCTGGGGATCTGATGAGATAAGGTATTTGAATGCGCTCCCTAAGTCCTAAAACGCTGCCATTTAGTATTATTATTAGCAGCGGCAGTAGTAACAGATGATTATCAATTGATGTGGCACAGAATCGTATGTCCTTGAAACTCTCTGGATTATGGAGGTTTTGAATGACACACCCAGGGGACAGGCCAGGTTCGGGGAGGGGGGGGGTGTTCTCTTCTGTTGAAGATGACCGCATCACAACTCTTAACTGGGTGAGGCAAGCCTGCCTGGGAGGCTTCCTAGAAACCAACCCGCTGGGCCTGCAGAGATTACCTCGGATACCTGACCCCTTCAACAAGAAGGACTTCCCTGGGCTTCCTTGGTGGCGCAGTGGTTGAGAATCTGCCTGCTAATGCAGGGGACAAGGGTTCGAGCCCTGGTCTGGGAGGATCCCACATGCCGCGGAGCAACTAGGCCCGTGAGCCACCACTACTGAGCCTGCGCGTCTGGAGCCTGTGCTCCGCGACAAGAGAGGCCGTGACAGTGAGAGGCCCGCGCACCGCGACGAAGAGTGGACCCCACTTGCCGCAACTGGAGAGAGCCCTCGCACGGAAACGAAGACCCAACACAGCCAAAAATAAATTAATTAATTAATAAACTCCTACCCCCAACATCTTCTTTTAAAAAAAAAAAAAAAAAAGAAGGACCTTCCTCTGATGGGAATCATACAGCTAAGAGACACGGCAAACTATGGAAATGCCTGATTCTATAAATCAGGACATTGCTTCTCTAACACGAAACTGTTCAAAGCCTGGGCAATGTCTTTATTTTCACAATTTTTTTCAGCCTTTACTTGTCCCTGTAAATGATAACTACTGACCAGAAGCTCAAAAGGGGGGTGGAGGAATCAAAAGAGCTTTCCTATCTGATTTTTTTGTTCCCTCATCAATCTGGTTTCTGCGCTGACCAAGAAAGCCTGCCTGGCTCTCATGGGTTCCTTTCCTTTAGGGAAAACAAAAGCAAATGACAACACGGGTACTTTAGAATTCTTGCGGGCACGGGGGGCTGCGAAGTGAGCTTTCTATACAAATGGAGAAACCCTCCAAGCTGCCAACATGAAATTCAGAAGGTGCAGGTAGAATGGTCTTCTCACCTAGGAGCGGGGCAAAGGGCTCCTTTGGCTCTAAAAGAGTCAATTTGTGTTTCAAATATCTTTCAGGAACTTGACACCGTGAAACTACCTGCTCCCAAGGAATCTGAGAAAGTCCTAGAATAGCTTTCCTCAAGAAGAACAGCAAGACTCCTTGCTCTGTAAAAGCTCTCCGTATTCACTCCCTAGACCGCAGGCTTGGACGCTGGGGGTCAGGGCAGACCTGCCGGGCCCTGGGTCCAACACTGCCCAGCCTGGGAGGACACGACCTCTTTCATTACGTGGTCTGCCAGAGAGCCTAGAAATCCTCCCAGAGGGGTCCCAGAAACCAAATGAGGAAGACAGAAGCCTCATTTGGGGGGAGAGAAACAGGTTGAGGAAAGTAAGTCTCGCTAAAAAACAAATGTAATATCTATGGATAATTTTGAAAAATAACTCTCCAAAATGAAAAAATCCAGCCGAAAAAATTTAACAAAGCTTCGTGGTAGGCTGGACCAACTGGGACAGAGCAATTTCCAAGTGTAAGATAAGTCACAACTGCTTTATTATTTTTTTAGGTGTCAAAATGTACCAAAAACCAAAAGGTCATATAGATCTTATACTTTCTGTGAAACTCTCTATTTGTTTAATTAGTTTGTATTAGATAAGGATCCTTTGGCCAAAACCAATTTAAAAGACGTGTATATTCCCCATCCCTGGGGAATACATATGCCTTTTAAATTCAGCCAGGAGGCCCCTGACAGGTACCAAGCTCTCTTCCCTTCTCAGTTACCTGTATATGTCTAGGGAAACTGCATTCTGAGGGTTCTTCCCTTTTGTGAAAGGTCTCAGCGCTCAGGCAGCCAGCCGACGCCCCCTCCCCCAAGTTCTGGCGACTCTGCACCGCCCCGGAGGCAACTTCCCTGCGCCTCAGGTTTCCCCGCTTCTGCTGCACGAAGACCTATCAAATGTTTCTTTCTTATTACGCTCGAGGACCGGGAGACGCTGCCTCGGCCTCCATCCTTCCCCCTCCAGGTTGCAAAGGAAGTGCAGCAGGTTTGGATGTTAGCCCGTCTCTGCCCAGGGAGCAAAAGGCAACTTAATTTAATTTTTTCCCCTGTGCCCCTTCCTCCCAGTCTGCCCCAGGTTACCCTTAGCCTTTCCTGCTACAACCCCGCAGAAGCATAATTATGACAATTACAATAATGTGGGCGAGTGGAGTGTTTGGTTTCTGCTTTGCCGGTCACAGAGCAAGAAAACGTCTTTGTTTCCTTTTGCTTTTCTTTTAATAGCTCCGAGTAAAAGAGAAAAGGGGGATTTTAAGAAATGTTACTTTTGCTTTGCCAAAGGTCATATTATTAGTAATGCTTTCTTTTCTCCCTCTTCCTTCCCCTCACCCCGCAATTTTAGAAGAAAGCTTCAGGAGTCCAGCCAGGTTCCTGCCATCTCCCTGCACCTGGAGATGCCCTTCAGGGCAGACCAAAATCGCGCCGGGGTAGGGTGACGGCTGCTCCTGCGGCGGGTTTGACAAACTGCCTAGCAGACTCTCCGAGAAGACAGCCACCTGCCAGACTGCACCTGACTCCGTCCCTCCCGGGAGCCCCGAAGCAACAGAAAGGCCACCCAAGGGACCGTCAGGGCTGGGCTGCGCTCCCTGGGGAAAGTCCGCGTCCCAGAGCGCTCAGCGCCCGGGCACGTGAGCCGCGAGCCTGGCTGGAGGCGCGGCAGGTGCTGCGGCGCCGGGACGCCGACCTACCTTCACGAAGAGTTCGATCTCGGGGTCCCTGTCGTCCCCGTTAGCCGTCGCCGCGTCCGTCATGCCGTCGGCGCCCGGGGCCAGCGTCCCGGGCCGGGGAGGCGCCACCTCTGCGGCGCCCGGGCCAGCGCTCCAGCTCCTGCCGCTGCTGCTGCCCGGCTGGGCCCCCTGCGGAGGGAGTTTATCTATTTCCTTTAATCTATTTCTCCAGCCGGCGACAGCGGTGCCTGAGAGATCGGTGTCCCGGGCGATCGCACGGAAAGGAGAGAAGCCAGGAGGGGACAGGGGGCGGCGAGGGAGAAAGGTGGGCTCAGGGATGGCCGGCAGGTCCTGAGAGCAACAAGTGCCGCGCGCTGAGAGGTGTCACCGGATCCGCGCCCGGCAGCGATCCCGCGGTCGCCGCCCGCGCCCAAAATAGCCGGCGCCGCGGGGCGGGGTCAGCCCCGGCGGACGGGAGGGGCTCCCCGCGAGCGCGGCCCCCGCCCGCACCCCGGGCCCTGCGGGGCGCGCGCAGACCGGCCGGGCGGCACGGCCACTGGAGTAGGAGGATGCCCTGAGAAAGGTAAAGGGGGATGGGAGTGGGGGGATGGAGAGGATGAGAGAAGAGAACAGAAGAGAGAAAGGGAAGATGGCTTTAAGCTTTACGTTCATCAACGAAGCATCAGTTCCTCCACGTTACTCTCCCAGCAGCGTTACCCATGAGGAAAGCCCCCTCTTGCCTTAGGGGTGCTCAGAGTGGGGAGGGGCTGCGGGTAGCGCGGAAGAGAACGGAAGGACCCTGAAAACCATGCCTTCGCCATCCTCGTGCTGAATCCACAGAGTAGGGCTGGGGGCAGGGGGAGGCAGGGATGGGCTGGGGCTGATGTGTAAGGTAGAGAGAGCTGTGCTAGCCCAGTCAGGTGCAGCCAGATCCAACATCCTGTCCTTTAACCTTCTGGGCTGGTTTTCTTCCTCTCTCTTTCATTTCGTCTTTTGCATTCTCTTCTTTTTTCTTTCCTTTCTATTCTTATTTTACTTCTTTTCTCTCTTTTTAGTTTGTTGTTTCGTTTGTTTGTTTGTTTGTTTAGTGAAGGATAATACACACATGGGGCAAAAAAGGCACATATTGTAAGTGGACAGTTAAATAAGTTTTCACAAGCTGAACCCATCCATGAAACCAGCACCAGATGAAGAGGTAAAGTGTTAGCTACCCGCCCAGAAGCTCATTCTGATCTCTCCTCTCTAGCTCTCCCCCCTCTCCAGGGCTCTCACCCACCTGGGCTGAGACTTGTAACAGCACAGGGTAGTTTTGCCTGGAATCTTATAATAAATGTAGTATATTCTCCTCCGTGTCTGGCTCCCTTTGCTCACCAGTACGTTGGTGAGATTCATCCATTCTGCTGTGTGTAGTTGGAAACCACCCATTTTTATTGCCGTAATTTATTTATCGATTCTTCTGTTGATGGACACTTGCATAGTTTCCAGTTAATGACTACCATGGGGCTGCTATGAACATTCTATAAAAATCCTTTCACGATACGTGGACACTTTTCTGTTGGCTATATACTCAGGAATGGAATTGCTTGGTTCTAGAGTATTAGAATGTTCTCGAATAAACATTGCTATGGGGCTTCCCTGGTGGCGCAGTGGTTGAGAGTCCGCCTGCCGATGCAGGGGACGCGGGTTCGTGCCCCGGTCCGGGAAGATCCCACATGCCGCAGAGCGGCTGGGCCCGTGAGCCGTGGCCGCTGGGCCTGCGCGTCCGGAGCCTGTGCTCCGCAACGGGAGAGGCCACAACAGTGAGAGGCCGGCGTACCGCAAAGAAAAAAAAAAAAAATTGCCAGACAGTTTTCCAAAGTGGCTGTACCAATTTACATTCCCACCCTCCATTTCTTTTAAAAACAGGTACTAAGTCTTTCGCATCTGGAATCTGGTCAACTTCTGTTTGTGTTCTTTGCCTTCTCTTTAGCTGCTCTTGTCTGTGCTCTTTCTTGCCTTACTTACAAATATATATTTGTTCCACAGCTTTCTAAGAAAAAAAAGTAATCACTTAATAAAAAGAAGTAACAGTACTTATTAGGTACCAGGCAAAAAAATGCTAAGCACTCTACATGTCTTAACTTATTTAATCTTTACAGATAGTGTTTGTATCCCAATTTTACAAGTGGGGATAGTGAGGCATAGAGTTATTTAAGTAACTTGCCCCTAGTCATTCAGCTAGGAAATGGTGGAATCAGGATTTGAACTCAGACTAAGCCCATGCTTTTAACTACTCTACTAACTGCCTCTCTCAAACTTCAGGCACACTGGGTAAGGCAATTTGGGGAAACAAAGGCACTGCCCTGGTCTTAATGTAGATTAAAATCTATTTCAGGAGAATAGTCCCGTGAGAGGAAGACTAAGGCTGCCACACATGGCAGATGGAGGGGCTACATAAGTCAGCACATAGAGAGATTATTCACCACAGTTGGAGTGGCCGGAAAGAAAGACCTCCTAGAGCAGGAGGCACTACAGCTGAACCTTCCTGAATAGTCAGGCATCTGATAGGCAGAGAAAATGGCAAGGTATCCTGACCGCCCTTAATGGCAGGCTGTTCCCCCATAAACTCCAAGTGCAAATGTCTCCTATTCACTGAAGAAAACAGTCACCAAGCCTGACTTGCAACCCTCATGGTACACTATAGCTTCATCAAGGTGAGGCTTAATTTTCTCCTCCTCTTTGGTTTCTGGCTTACATCACCAAGGCCTTTAGAGAAGCAGTCACCTTCATAGCTGTACATTCCAAGCCAGTGACCGCATACTCCGGGAAGGACAAGGTTACAGAGGGAGACTGCTACGTTCACTGCATGCCGCACAGACTCATCACTTTCCTGCTCTGGACAGTGGACAATATTCACAACAGCAATGTGAAAGAGGTAAATAAAATTATATGCCAAAGTGCCTTTGAGGGTTTTTTTTTTTGAATGAAAGATGCTTTACACATGTGATTATTTTCTTGCCTGTGAGCTAAACAATGTGCGGTATGACCTCTACCTTCCCTAATCCCAAACCTATAGCAGAGTTAGGTTATTTCATCTTCTCCAAAGATCTACCACTTACTGAAAAAAGGAACAGTTCCCTTTTAATTTCGAGATAATACCTCCCATTTGGACATCTCTGCAGATAACTGATAGTTTTGACCTTATAAACTTTCATTTTGCCAAAAAAAAATTCTTCTTTGGTTATAAAATATTTCTGTGCATATTTCTAGTTTTCATTTCTACATTCTGTTTTAGTTCATGATTAAAAAGACCTTATTGTGTACCCTTTCATGTCAAAGCATAATTGGTTAAGCAATTCTAGCTTTCTTCAGAGAAAAACACTTCCCTGATCATATAGACTGTACTTCTAATAATCATAGCTTCACAAACTTGTTGCAAGTTTTGGATAAATCCTTATTAGGAAAGCACTTCAAAAACATATTCAATGCTCACTTTAGCAGCACATATACTAAAATTAGAACAATACAGCAAAGATTAGAATGGCCCAAATGAAAGAATGACATGCGCATCTGTGCAACACCCATATTTTTGTATGATCACTGAAATAAGAAATTATAACATATGTGATTGGATTTTCAATATATTCAGATTTAATCATATGACATAAAGGGTGAAGGCAAAGGAATTTATATAGCTGTCATGTTTCTATAATTTACTTGAGGTGGTGACCTATGAACTCTAAGCAGATTGAGAAAAGTTAGGTATGTATATGGTAACCACTCCTAAACAACAGCTATAAAAGTTACAAAAGAGATAGAGTTAAAAAAAAAACCAATATGTAAATTAAAATATAATGACAAGAAATATTCAAATAATCTAAAAGGGGGAAAAAGAGAGCAAACAGAAAACTAATAAATGGCACATTACAGAATCTCACTTCAAACATAATGATATAAAGTAAAAAGATGAGGAAAAATGCCATGCAAATGCTAATCAAAAGAAAGTTAGTCACCATATTAACACCAAACAAAACAGACTCCAGAAAAAGGAAATCATCATGAATAAAGAGACAGGTATTACATAATGTTAAAAGAGCCAACTCATCAAGAAGGTATAACAACCCCAAATGTGTATGTACCTAATAACAGAGCTACAACATACAAAGAGGCCTCAAGGATAATTAGAAAATATTTTGAACTAAATACAAATGAACATAGAACATACCAAAATTTGTGAGATGCAGCTAATGCAGCACCTCGGAAGAAATTTACATGTAAAGTGTTCTTTTTAGAAGAGAATAAAGGTCTCAAATCAATAATCTAAGCTTCCACCTTAAAAAAATTAGAAAAAGAATAGCCAGCTAAACACAAAGCAAGAAGAAGGAGTAAAATAATAAATATAAGCACAGAAATTAATGAAATTGAAAAAAAGATAAAACAATGGAGAAAATCAATGAAACCAGAAACTGGTTCTTGTAAAACATCAATAAAATTAATAAACTTCTAGCTATATTTACAAGAGAAAAAGAATATATCATCATGAAACAATGATGATCCTTATAAGGAAAATTTTCCAAAAGTGTTCACCTTACACAGTACCAGCGTATATCATTTAGTTATAGGCTCTAACTTTTATGTACCTAATGGTATTTAGTGGAAGCCACTCATTCTGCCCAAGGTAGCTATTTATATAGGAGTCAGGTTGTTCAACCCTTACATTCTCTGCAGAGGATCTCTTGGACAAGCTCAAGGGCTTCAGGTTCAAGCGGAGGAGCCTGGCAGATTTTGATGACAGCTGCAGAAGCACCAGTCATATTGTGTCTCTGTAGGAGGATCAAGTGAGGGTAGACACAGAGAGATGAGTGCTTCCACCTGCATGAGGTCACAGGTCGGGCCCTGAGGAGGACCGGGTGGGTTGCTAATTCTACTCCTTCATAAACGAATGTGCTCTTGGGCGTGCTCAGCATCGCCAGTGATCTCTGTCCTAGCAGCAACCTGCCTACTTGTGCTCAGCAAAGGGAGAGGCCAGGGAGTAGGCTGGACTGAAGCCAAGGGTCCTTGTCAACAACTGTCACTCATCCCACTGATTCACTCATTACTCTACTAGAGTTTTGGGGGTGCCATGCTCTTTCTAGAACCCTCTGAGAACATGCAGTGTGCATATCACTTCCTGACAATGAGCAGATTTAGCTCCTGCATTAATTATTTCTTCATGGAATTCCTTCATGGATTGAGTCATGTCTTTCTCACAAGAGTGAAAGCTCCTTGAGGAGAGGAATCCAGTTTTATGTCTCTTTTGCACAACCCACAGAATGTAATGGCCCCTGGCTATAAACTTGCAAACAAACTGATAATATTCCCAGTACAGTGTACATGCTCATTAAATAATGGTTGATGGAATCAGTGAATAGATAACTGGCACCTATTTTATTCACAGCCTCTTCTTCCTCTTGGACTT